GGTCAGAGTTTCCCCTGAAGCAACACGACGGGCAATTAGAGCCAAGACGACACCTTCAAAAAGGGAACGATGTTCGTCGCCCTCGGTCCGTCCAAAAATAGATCAGGTTTTCACCCCGGCCAACACTCACCGCCACCGAGCGCCGCACCTCGGCGACCATGCCGCCCACACGGCCATGGCCACCGGGCAGCACCAAGCCACGGGCTCTTCCCAAGAGCACCGCGGTACCACCACCAGGGCCGTCGCCCCGGCAACCAAGACCTTGACACCACCTTGCCCGAGCCTAGCCGCTATCCCCACCAAAGATACGAGCGGACGCCGCATCTCTAGGCGGGCCCTAGTGCCGGGACCAAATAAGCCGGCCAAAACTGGCCTCCATCAACCCGTCCTGCCGCACCGGGGCGCGAGACAAATTCGGTCCTGCTACTGGGCGTGAGACAAGCTCCGTGTGTAGCCAAAAATTGTGTGATTACGAGAAACCGTGTGCTACAGCAGTGGAATCTTTTCTACTTGCAGACCTTTCCGTTCAATAATGTTGATTGTGATAGCTTTCGTTGTAAACTTTGCTGCTAGATTACGTAGCTCCATTCCTTCCTCATATACTCCTTGTTGCTACAGGCACATCTGGATACCTGAGCTGGAGGCTTGGATGCCTTGCTGATTGGCCTATTATACTGTCAACTATGGTTGCCAAGATGCACCTCACGCCAAAACAAGACGTCGCCGCTGCTCAAAGTTTGGCCACCAAAAAGTCAATAATTTTCTCGAAACCTTTTGACATCATTGGTACAAGACCCATCTGCGATGGAGGAACATATTTCAAACCCAAATTCAGCAACGCGTGGATTGAACTCAGATCTCGAACTTGGTGGCGTGGTAGATGTATATTGCATTGAAATGTGATGTTGTGAATATTTTGCAGACTTTTTTTGTGACTCTCTGATAACCCGGTTATTCGTCTTGTGTGAATTGTAATTGTGAGCGTCTGATTAATTGGTAGCACTAGTTTGATGTACAATTTTTCTGCTGAGTGTCACTTTATCTTGCACAACCTCTTACAGGAGTCGTGGCTTTGCTCATTCCTTCTGGCACTGTATTTCATTGTAATTGTTTTGCTCACTTGTGTGTGAGTAAACAACAGAATGCTTGGCTTAACTAGACACCGGATTTCCATTGTAAATTTTTCTGGTCTAAATTTATCTTTTCAAATGGTGCGCGACATGGAGCACCTCTTTGGGGACGTGCCGTGAGGAATCGTGTATTAGCTTAGATTGCTAGAGTAGGAAGTCCCTATGCTGACTGTATTTCTCAAATTCTTTCACCCCTGATCACTTCATCAACACTTGTTTTCTGCCTTCTATCTGCTAATGAAATGAGTGTCAGCACAAGCTGGATCTTTCAAAAGAAAAGAAAATGGCGCGCGACTACATATCCTTCAGGCCGACCAGATTCCAAGGGGGCGAAAGTTGCATTTTGAACACACTGAGCGCAGACTCCCAGCAAAAAGTGTAAATACTGAGTGCAGATCCCATCATAAGACTGCCCGCAGCGGGGTGCTTCCGATGGGGTGGGGCTCAACGTTAAGGGCATGTACAATTATGCTATCTTAGGAGCGGGCATGTAGGATAAATGTTAAGGTAGAGGAAAGAGTAATCATAATAAAAGTCTTGTCTTCTCTTATTTCAAAGATGATCTTTTAGCACAATATGTTTCATCATATTTTTACGAATAACTAATTATTGAAGATATGGCTAAGAGATAGCCCATTGTAGCACCATCTCTAAATTACATGCAAAGCCTAAGATAAAAATGTCTTATCAACCACTGTACATGCTCTAACAAACCGAGCAGAAAAAAGAAAACAAAAGGCAAACTCTTCCTATCCATCGTCCGATGGGGAGGATCATTCAGTACGAGTCCACGTTTATTTTGTTTCCTTGGCCAGTTGGATGCAAGAGATCAATCATCGTACGGTATACATACATATCTCCGATCGGGCCTAAGAAATCCAACATTGCTTTTACGGTACGGTACGTCTTCGATCTCCGTTCCTCGTACGTCCCGCCGCCATGAGCGAGAGCGAGGGCAGCTCGACAGCCTCCGTGATGGACGACGAGGACCTCCTGTGGGAGATTCTCCTCCGCCTCCCGCCACAACCGTCTTCCCTCCCGCGCGCCTCCGCGGTCTGCAAGCGATGGCGGCGCGTGGCCAGAGACCCCAGGTTCCTCCGCAGCTTCTACACACACCACAAGAAACCGCCCCTCCTAGGCTTCTTTGAGTACCACCGTGACAATATTGTGTTCACCTCCATCCTCGATGCTCCTGATCGCATCCCTCGTGAGCGTTTTAACATCGGACGCTGCATCACCTCCTCAGAGAGCTATGTACTTGGCTGCCGCCACGGTCGCGTCCTCGTGATTGATCATGTGCGCACAGAGCTCATTGTGTGCACCCCTATCACTGGCGAGCAGCGCCGCTTGGCCGTTCCTCCCGAGTTTAAAACAGTCCTCCGTACTTGCATCAACGGGGCGGTTCTCTGCGCTGCTAACGACCAGGGCCATGTGCACGGCGGCTGTCACTCCAGCCCCTTTAAGGTGGTCTTGGTGATCATGTATAGAGACGAACGTCAAGCCCTCGCATGTGTCTACTCCTCGGATACCAATGCATGGGGCAACCTCATCTCAACAGCTGCCCCATGTCGGCTTTTTAATGCCCATAGACCTGGGTCACTTATTGGTAATGCATTCTACTGGTTGACTATGAGGAATGACATGCTTGTGTTTGATTTGGTAGAGCAAAGTCTAGCTGTGCTTAGTGGGCCACCGGTTAAAAATCTTTTCGTCCATAGTCAGGTCATCCAAGTTGAGGATGGTGTTGTTGGCTTTGTCGTATTATCTTATCCACACTTTCAAATATGGCAGAGGAAACTCAATGATCATGGTGTTGCCACATGGATGGAGTGGAAGACCATTGGAATGCATAATATTCTTGCCCTCCCTCCTCAGATTGTCAGAGGCGCTGAAACAATACTAGGATATTCAGAGGATGCTGATGTGTTTTTTATATATGTGGACGTCAAGTTCTATATGGTTCAGTTTAGGTCAATGCAATCCAAGATACTTGATGAAGCATATTATATCACTGACTACCATCCTTTCACAGGGTTTTATTCACCAGGTAACTGTTCATACTCAGTATTTCTATCGTAGTAGTAACCCAATTCAATTATTTTTTCTACATGGCTCAAACATATATATTGTGCTTCTTAAGTCACTAACAATTAAGCTTAATCAACAATTGTCCCTTTGCTAGGTAGACAGACTTAAATTATCATTAGTTGTTTTTTACACTACTAGTGTCAAAAACGCTCTTATATTATGGGACAAAAGGAGTAGCTGAGTAAACTGCTTTCAGAACATTCCTTGCATATAGAAGAGATGCAGTGCTTTCATTATGAAGTATCTAAGCAAATTGCTTTCAGAACATTCCATGCATCTAAAATAGATGCAGTTCTTTCATTATGAAGTATCTAAGTATATATATACTGCTTTCAGGAATCTTTTTTGCATTTACAGATGTAGTTTTTTTATGTTGCAAGTTTAAAAGTTGAGCCGTAATTCATCTATAAAAAGTGATTTATTTTTCTCAAGTCACGTTTGTCAGCTCAACTGTGTAGACTTACTCGTGCCTTCCATCATCTATTTGCTTCTTCCTAGGCATTGTCATAAGTTGAAGTTTTATGCTTCTAGGCATAAACATTGCTGGTGGATGTGATGGAGCTGAAGTATTGCACGTTGCATTGGTACGACTATCTGCTTTGATTTGCTAATGTGTTGAAATGCTACAACAGGCAATAATATATTTTGAATACGATTTGTGAGGTTTGAACCATTTGAATTGTAAATATCCAGATGCCTACATAGGTAGCGTCATAGCATGCACCCGCAAACTACTGTCAATTTGGTTATATGGGTTCACGCTTGTGAGTGACACCAACACACACATCAATTGAACTGATGGGGTTCATGCTTGTGAGTGACACTAACACATACATCAATTAAACTGATGGCGATGCCAAGAGAAAACTACTTCATTTTGGATTGCAAATGATATCTAAATGTTGAATAGGAATGGGCTCGAAGTGTTAAATTTGCATTAATATTCATTCTTTGGGATCTAGTTGATTTTAAATACCAGTCATGTGATAGTAGTAGTAATAATAACAATAACAATAATACTAATAATGAATAATAAAATATCTAATTAGATTCTAGAATGTTTGTAATCTCACTATATATATAAGTAGTTGGACAAAAAAAATGGCATTCACTTAAAAACTCGTCTGCCAGTGCATTTGCATGATCCACTTTGCTAGTTTATTCAAAGGTATAATATAATGATTATTATGTGGGTTCCTATCAAGTTTCAAGAAATTGGCAAGTTTCCAGATAAATAAACTTTCATCATTTCGGCCAAGTTTGAAGATGAGTTGCGGTAACTTTCAAAATTGTATGGCGGGTGCGAAGACGACCAAATTCAAGACAAGTTTCAACATTTTTATATTCAGTCTTAATTTGTACAAATTTCAAAAACAGGGCAAATGAACAGAACTTGTTGGCACATGAACAAAACTGTACATTGACTTCACCTTAACCATCAGCACACTACCAACAGCCGATGTAGTTCATGAGGAAGAATTTACAAAGACTCTACACGGCAATCGTAGCATTTGCATCTGTATTTCATACAAACAGCCAGCCACATTGCTGACTTCCACTCAATATTTGCAAAAATAACAGGCAACCTTTGGCATGGCCTGATTAGCTAGCTAGGAGACTAACATACACCGTCTCTTCTCATGTGTGTAACACTCAACACTGATAAGCATTTGCCTCGTCAGTACAAGCAGAGGAACCTAGCAGTATTTACAAGGTGTAACAAAGGTTGCAGAGGGCCGTGTTTTCTAAACTCTTTCCCATTTCTGCCGCAGAAGCTCTTCCTCAATCAACTCTAGACTTCTTCGCCATGTGTAGAATCATGTCAGTGCAGCGCTGGCTGCAACACAAGGTACACAAGAAGTTATAGAACGAGGCGATTCAGAAATGTCGCAGTTGATGGGTTTTATACGTTTTCCTCTGAAGAATATGTGTGCGTGATGATAAAAGATAATTACCCGTAGCTGCGCTGGTGGTTGAACCATGCGAAGAGCTTGAAGGAACCGTCCCCCAGCATACCTCCAGCATCGGCATCAAAGAAGCACGACCTGCGTTTGTCAAGGCCATTCAAGCAACTGATGAACGAATGCCTCCAAACCACACCAGCCCATGATGATATATATATGGTGACTACTGACACAGTTACCTGCAATCTCCTAAATAATCTGTGGCCTTGAGCCCCACTCCTCCCTCCAGGTTAGCTAGTACATAGTGAAGTTCCTCTGAAGAAGACTCCTTCCTGCAAAGTACAGCAACACACATTTCAGTAAATAATGCACTTTGAAGCAAAGATGCTTGCAGTTCTGCTTGCAATCTTTCATACATACAAGACAAGGAGTACATGGAATTACCAACGTTTCAAAAAACATGCCGATCCTTTATCGAAAACACCAGTTCCAGCAGACATTTATAATACACCTTTCAGTAAAAAATGTACTTGGGAACAGAGATACTAGCAACTTGACTGAATTGCACATTACCAGGGGTACACAAGATTACGAAATTCCGATAAAAATGTCCATCCTTTGTTGAAAATAGCAGTTCCAGGTGAGAATTCACAGTTATGACTTGATAACAGACCAGGAAAAGTCACTAGACAGCCAACTGAGCATTGAACTTACCTGACAGAATCCTTGATCATCTCATAGTCAGCACACTCGTCAAGCCTAACGGCCAGTTCCACACAAGACAGTTTCACCTGAGGATCATGGCTCACCGTCACATGGAACCTGTCGACTAAATCAGGAATAGCGGAACTGAGTGCCTGCAGATTACCAAATGTAACAATCAGGACGTCTGCTGAAAAGATACTGTAATATCAGTTTTTTTAAGATGATAATAACACATAAATACTAGGTTGATTCTTACCCTGCCAATTTCTGCAGCACTAGAGGATGGTCCGGTTATAGTCACATGGCACTCTCTGATGCCAAATTTAGTGTGGAGGATCTGAAAACAATTCAAAGTCATCAGCAACTATACAAACCAAATTGAGGCAAAGAGCTAGTAGCTAAACAGAGGATGAAACTTGTAAACCTTGGCGAGCAGAGCAAGACAAATTGTAGCGGTATCAGCAACTGAGATGATCCTAATATCTGGTGTGTACGTATTTTCATTGACACCGTAAACAAATGTGGGAGCTTCATTGCTCAGAGCACAGATGATAACCTTCTTGGCGCCACCCTAGCACACAAGACAAATGCATGTTTCTTTACTTCGAGATACAGATAGGAAATGTACATCCGCGAACTTTGAGATTATTAAACCCAATAAAAACCTGAGAAAAGAAACAGCCCCTACTATACTGATTTACTGTTTTGGTCATGCTGAACAACTAAATACATAGCTTTCGATTTAACAAAAAAACCAGTGTATATACCATCAAGTGAGAGCTGGCAGTATCCGTGTCAGTGAATACTCCAGTGCTCTCCACGACGTAGTCTGCGCCGAGATTGCCCCAGGGTATTTTTTCAGGCTCACTAACATTGGAAACGACGTGTTAGGTCTTAGTACTTGAAATGGTGGCCTGTAAATGTAACTGAATTTAGTGACAAAATGGAGATTCATACGAAATAGCTAGAACTTTGGTGGGAGGGAATAAATCAGGAGGCATGTCCGCTAGCGCTGTAGCCTGCAAATTCACCAATTGATACACAGTAAGTCAAACAACAAATATAGTGACTCAATTATGAACAAAAACATAAAGGTGGCATACAATGTCATTTGCGCTCACAAAAGGGTCGTTGACGACGACTAGTTCCATTTTCTTGCTGTGCAAAATAAGCCTGGCCACAAGTCTCCCGATCCGCCCCAAACCATTGATCCCAATCCTCGGTTTGGTTGCTTTACCAGGTCGGGGTCCGAGCTTAAGTCCGCCACGCTTTGATTTCTGCAAAGACGCGCAAATGAATTTCGGCAGCAGTAAGACTTGAAGAAGATGGTGAAATAAGAGACCAGCAGATAACTACCTTGACTTCATAGAACTGAGGTGGGTGAGCCTTCTTTCTGAACTCCAACGTTTCATACTCACCCTTTGTAAGCCAGTCCCTGTCCATGTACTCAAAACTCCTATGCTGCTCATCAAAAACAGTTTCCGCCACGTTCTTGATGACCTCGTTGAGCTCTGCCACAGGTATAATATCCTCCTCATCACGGCTCCGCTTCCTGGGCCCGACTTCACTATCCTGGTACATCGTCTTGGCAAACGGATCCCCCTTGACGTACATCGGGCTCGTGTCCACCGGTGCATCTTTGTCGGGAAGCTGGGCCTGCAGCGAAGGCGCCACAGGGCAGCTCAGGAGCGCTGGGAACACCGTGTCAGCTGGGCACACGGCATAGGGGTCCGGCACATCTCCAAATGCTGATGCACACCAATTCCAGCAGTGAGTCGGTTAACCATAATGCAAGAATAAAACAATATTATTTTCTGACTGTATACAACAGCAATCGAGGAGACAATTTATCCCCTGATTTAATAAAACAGCATGCCTTTATAAGAAGGTAAGAAACTAAGCTTATCTACTTCTTCCTCGGATCGTTCAAAAAGGAATATATATCCCAGAACCACACGTCATGATTTGGGGAATGAATATTAATTCAACAACATTAGTATAAATAAGCATTCTTCGCTATCGAATTGACCATCGAATTTCCATGATCAAGTTATACTGTAGCTAACTAGCAAATTGAGCAAAGAGTAAACGGTAGCCCTAACCTTGAGGCAAAAATTAATTGATTAGAATCATGTTAATGGACCCAATCTAATGCACTTAGTTCATTCATCAATTAGGCACTAGTTGCTGAACCCTGACAATACGGTCACCTGATGCGACAGAACATGTTCTAACGCGTTCATGAAGGAAAGATGCCGAAGTTCTTCCTGATGAAAGAAACAGTAAGCTTATTTCCAAACAGCAGGCACAGTTCGACATAGCAAAACTTTCTCTTATTTCTAACGGGAATCAATAACTCATTGATAAAGGGGCACTTGATCAACATCCACTGACTTCACAAAAGAAAACAGCTATCCAGGCATTAACTTTCCTCTGATTTTAATATGACAGCATGCCTGTTCAAGATACTACAGGTTAAGATTTGGAGAATGAACGTTAGTATAAATAAGCATTCTTCTCTATCAAATTGACAACCGAATTTCCATGATCAAGTTATACTGTAGCTAACTAGCAAATTGAGCAAACAGTAAATGTTAGCCCTAACCTTGAGGCAGGAATTAATTGATTACTCATGTTAATGGACCCAATCTAATGCACTTTGTTCATTCATCCATTAGGCACTAGTTCTGACAATATTTTCATATTCATCAATGAAAGATGGCGAAGTTCTTCCCTGATGCAAGAAACAATAAGGTTATTTCCAAACAGCAGGCAGAGTTGGACATAGCAAAACTTGCTCTTATTTCTAACGAGAATTAATAACTCATTGACAAAGGGGTACTTGATCAACATCCACTGACAAAGAAAACAGCAGCTATCCAGGCATTAATATTCCCCTGATTTAATAACACAGCATGCCTGTTAAATAAATTAGGCTCATCTACTTCCTGGGATTCAGATAAAAAGGGTTCAAAAAGGGACCAATCCGAGAACCACAGGTTATGATTTGGAGAATGGACGTTAATTCTTTGACCATCGACTTTCCCTGATCAAGGTATACTGTAGCTAACTAGCTGATTGACCAATCAGAAAAGAATTACGGCAAGAATTAAGTGACTAGAATCTGATGCACTTCTCGTTAATTCTTCCATTAGCCACCAATTAATGCAACAGATCATGTTCTAACGCATTCATTCATCAGCGAAACAGGGTGAACTCATTGACAAACCAGGGAGACGTACTTGATCCACATCCAAGAAACAGACACGTACGGAGCTAGATTTTAGGAAGTCAGTCAAATAACTCTGTAAAATTAAGCATGCGTATGTGCTTGATCTGTAAGCGATTAGTTGATTTGATCCACCAAACGGAAAAGAGAATTGACAGCATTAAATTGCAGAAGCAAAACTAACAGCAACCCAAAATCACCCAAATCACTGGTTGATTAGCAACAAACAAGACGCGCGCGTGCACGGTGATTCGAATCGAAGAAGAAACGGCGGGGCCAGAGTTGAGAGTTGTACCTGAGCCAGGCGGAATAAACCGGAGCAAGGCGGCGTTGGGCGTGGCCGGCGGCGTCGCCGAGGATGAAGCCGTGGTCGTGGCGGAGGAGCCGGCGACGAGCGTCGTGCAGGCGGTAGACTCGAGCGCGGTCGCGGCGGAGGAGGCGGAACCGGCGAAGACCGCCGTGCAGGTGGTAGAGTCGAGCGCGGCCGCGGAGGAAGAGGTCGAACCGGCGAACAGCGTCGTGCAGGCGGTAGGCTCGAGCGCGGAGGAGGAGGCAGCGAGCGGGGCCAGGGAAGTGGCGGGACCCGTCGAGGAGGAGGCGCCGACCTCGGCCCCGGACTCGGTGGTCTCGGGCGCGGAGAAGGCGGCCGCGGGCGGGGTCGCGGCGGTGGCTGCAGACCCCGTCGAGGAGGAGGCGGCGGCGGCGGCGGTGGACTCCGGCGCGGCGGAGCCCATGGCCGCGAGGGGAGAGCTTGCAGAGGAAGAAAGGGATTCTGTTACGGTTAGTTACGGTTGTCAGTTGCTTTTGGCTGGCGGGCGGGATGCGTTTGAGTTTCAGGAGAGGGAAGGGGCCCTCGTCTCTCTTTTAAACCCCAACAGTCGTCGTCGACGTGGATGGCACGCAATGTGTTCGACCGAATGCCCCTTCCTCCATTCCTCTGTCTCTCGGAGAAACTGTCAGTGGCAAGGCCTTATGAATTTCAGCCCGGGTCACTCGGATCAATTATTTGGTACAAGTTGGATCCATCCCATCCTAAAGACTTTCACTCGATTACTCGGATCAAAATCAATTACCATATGCCCCGTTTATGAACACCCTCCTTTTTTTTCTAAAGAATCCGTCGGTTGTTCTTCCCCCGATAAACGCAAAACGCAACCAAAAATTGCTTCAAAATAAAATCAGAGGAGAGGACACAAAAAACTCACAATGATTCCCAAAGAAAAGATACATCAACTTCATTGTCCATTTTACGAGTCACCGAGACTAGGTGTTTATAAGACTACTACCGGTGTTTCATGTCATACTAAATCGACTCTGTAGACGAAAGAGACAATCCAATAATGTTGAGAGGGGGCAGCCGACCGCTAGGGAAAACATCGTCATGGATCTCCTCTCCGCGTCAGAATTTCGGGTGAAGACCCTTGTCCGATGTGGCTAGGCAGTGACGACGCTTTGGTCGGTTCTACGTCTTGAGGGTATTGTCGAGGAGTTTAGGTGTCCTACTAGGGTGTTGCATGGGGTTGTTCTCAGTTTCTCTTGTGTTCTCCTTCGGTAGCCTAGTTGCTTTGCCTTCTTCGTGTTCCAGGTAGCCTGGGATCTGCTTTGTAAGAGGGTTAATTCACCACCTTGTATCTTTCGGCCGTGTACTTTCTTTGGTTTGTGACTTTATTTATCAAGGGGGCGAAAGCCTGTTTCGAGTGTTGTGCTGTTGGATTTCGACAACCCATTAGGTAAGTTTACAATTTTTAACTCTTCTCTTTTTGACAACTTTTCTTTAATTGCCCAGCTTTGGAAATCTATGTGTAGACATTCAATAAATTGTACGATAGCTCGTTATGAATTTTGAAATTTGAAAGCATTCAAAAAAACTTTTAAGAATTCAAAACATCATGATTCTCAACTTTTAGAAAATCCAAATATATATACATTGAAAGTTCAATTGCTCTACATCCTTTTGATTCACCATACATTGATTAGCCAACTTAACATATGATTCTAAAAATATTATAATCTATGTGTGAATTAAGAATGAGAAGTCTGGCTGCCGCCCCTCTCCTCGACCCCCTCCCTCCTGATCTCCTCCTTCCCGATCTAATCTAGGCTTTGATTCACCGCCGCCCATCTCCTCGCCGTCGCCGGAGCTCCGCGGGACAAAGTTCAGGCGAGGGATGATGGCGGCAGCAGGGCCTTCCTCCACTGTGGCTCCGGGAAGCGGTTGCGGTCGAGATCCACGCGTGTGTCCTGGACGTGTGTGTTATCTATTGGAAATATGCCCTAGAGGCAATAATAAAAGGATTATTATTATATTTCCTTGTTCATGACAATTGTCTTTATTCATGCTATAAGTGTATTATCCGGAAATCGTAATACACGTGTGAATACATAGACCATAATATGTCCCTAGTAAGCCTCTAGTTGACTAGCTCGTTGATCAACAGATAGTCATGGTTTCCCGACTATGGACATTAGATATCGTTGATAACGGGATCACATCATTAGGAGAATGATATGATGGACAAGACCCAATCCTAAGCATAGCACAAGATCGTGTAGTTCGTTTTGCTAGAGCTTTTCCAATGTCAAGTATCTTTTCCTTAGACCATGAGATCGTGTAACTCCCGGATACCATAGGAGTGCTTTGGGTGTACCAAACGTCACAACGTAACTGGGTGACTATAAAGGTGCACTACAGGTATCTCCGAAAGTGTCTGTTGGGTTGACACGGATCGAGACTGGGATTTGTCACTCCGTATGACGGAGAGGTATCTCTGGGCCCACTCGGTAATGCATCATCATAATGAGCTCAAAGTGACCAAGTGTCTGGTCACTGGATCATGCATTACGGTACGAGTAAAGTGACTTGCCGGTAACGAGACTGAATGAGGTATTGGGATACCGACAATCGAGTCTCGGGCAAGTAACGTACCGACTGACAAAGGGAATTGTATACGGGGTTGATTGAATCCTCGACATCGTGGTTCATCCGATGAGATCATCGAGGAGCATGTGAGAGCCAACATGGGTATCCAGATCCCGCTGTTGGTTATTGACCGGAGAGCCGTCTCGGTCATGTCTACGTGTCTCCCGAACCCGTAGGGTCTACACACTTAAGGTTCGGTGACGCTTGGGTTGTAGAGATATGAGTATGCAGCAAACCGAAAGTTGTTAGGAGTCCCGGATGAGATCCCGGACGTCACGAGGAGTTCCGGAATGGTCCGGAGGTAAAGAATAATATATAGGAAGTGCAATTTCGGCCATCGGGAGAGTTTCGGGGGTCACCGGTATTGTACCGGGACCACCGGAAGGGTCCCGGGGGTCCACCGGGTGGGGCCACCTATCCCGAAGGGCCCCGTGGGCTGAAGTGGGGAGGGGACCAGCCCGTAGTGGGCTGGTGCGCCCCCCTGGGCCCCCCTCTGCGCCTAGGGTTGGGATCCCTAGGGGAGGGGGCGCCTCCACTTGCCTTGGGGGGCACTCCACCCCCTTGGCCGCCGCCCCCTAGAGATCCCATCTCTAGGGCCGGCTCCCCCCCTGGGGGCCTATATAAGGGAGGGGGGAGGGAGGGCAGCCGCACCCTGAAGTCTTGGCGCCTCCCTCTCCCCTGCTACACCTCTCCCTCTCGCAGAAGCTCGGCGAAGCTCTGCCGGAACGCTGCTGCATCCACCACCACGCCGTCATGCTGCTGGATCTTCATCAACCTCTCCCTCCTCCTTGCTGGATCAGGGTGCGGGAGACGTCATCCGCTCCGTACGTGTGTTGAACACGGAGGTGATGTCCGTTCGGCATTTGGTCATCGGTGATTTGGATCACGACGAGTACGACTCCCTCAACCCCGTTCTCTGAACACTTCCGCTCGCGATCTACAAAGGTATGTAGATGCACTCCTATCACTCGTTGCTAGATGAACTCATAGATGGATCTTGGTGAAACCATAGGAAAATTTTTATTTTCTGCAACGTTCCCCAACAGTGGCATCATGAGCTAGGTCTATGCGTAGTTCTCTATTGCACGAGTAGAACACAAATTTGTTGTGGGCGTAGATGTTGTCAACTTTCTTGCCGCTACTAGTCTTATTTTGCTTCAGCGGTATTGTGGGATGAAGCGGACTGGACCGACCTTACACGTACGCTTACGTGAGACAGGTTCCACCGAATGACATGCACTAGTTGCATAAGGTGGCTAGCGGGTGTCTGTCTCTCCCACTTTAGTTGGAGCGGATTCGATGAAAAGGGTCCTTATGAAGGGTAAATAAAAGTTGACAAATCACGTTGTGGCTTTTTCGTAAGTAAGAAAACGTTCTTGCTAGAACCCTATTGCAGCCACGTAAAAGATGCAACAACAATTAGAGGACGTCTAACTTGTTTTTGCAGCAATTGCCTTGTGATGTGATATGGCCAAAAGTTGTGATGAATGATGAATGATATATTGTGATGTATGAGATCATGTTCTTGTAATAGGAATCATGACTTGCATGTCGATGAGTATGACAACCGGCAGGAGCCATAGGAGTTGTCTTAATTATTGTATGACCTGCGTGTCAATGATTTAACGCCATGTAATTACTTTACTTTATTGCTAAACCGTTAGCCATAGTAGTAGAAGTAATAGTTGGCGAGCAACTTCATGGAGACACGATGATGGAGATCATGATGATGGAGATCATGGTGTCGTGCCGGTGACGAAGATGATCATGGAGCCCCGAAGATTGAGATCAAAGGAGCTATATGATATTGGCCATATCATGTCACTGTTATATAATTGCATGTGATGTTTATTATGTCTATGCATCTTGTTTACTTAGAATGACGGTAGTAAATAAGATGATCCCTTATAATAATTTCAAGAAAGTGTTCCCCCTAACTGTGCGCCGTTGCTAAAGTTCGTCGTTTCGAAGCACCACGTGATGATCGGGTGATATAGATTCTTATGTTCACATACAACAGGTGTAAGACAGTTTTACACATGCAGAAACACTTAGGGTTAACTTGACGAGCCTAGCATGTATAGACATGGCCTCGAAACACAGAGACCGAAAGGTCAAACATGAGTCGTATGGAAGATACGATCAACATGGAGATGTTCATCGATGATGACTAGTCCGTCTCACGTGATGATCGAACACGGCCTAGTCGACTCGGATCGTGTAACACTTAGATGACTAGAGGGATGTCTAATCTGAGTGGGAGTTCATTAAATAATTTGATTAGATGAACTTAATTATCATGAACTTAGTCTAAAACCTTTGCAAATATGTCTTGTAGATCAAATGGCCAACGCTCATGTCAACATGAACTTCAACGCGTTCCTAGAGAAAACCAAGCTGAAAGATGATGGCAGCAACTATACGGACTGGGTCCGGAACCTGAGGATCATCCTCATAGCTGCCAAGAAAGCATATGTCCTAGAAGGACCGCTAGGTGAAGCACCCATCCCAGAGAACCAAGACGTTATGAATGCTTGGCAGTCACGTGCTGATGATTACTCCCTCATTCAGTGCGCCATGCTTTACAGCTTAGAACCGGGGCTCCAAAAGCGTTTTGAGCAACACGGAGCATATGAGATGTTCGAGGAGCTGAAAATGGTTTTCCAAGCTCATGCCCGGGTCGAGAGATATGAAGTCTCCGACAAGTTCTATAGTTGTAAGATGGAGGAAAATAGTTCTGTCAGTGAGCACATACTCAAAATGTCTGGGTTGCACAACCGCCTGCCCCAGCTGTACATTGACCTCCCGGACGAG